ATTCTATACACAATTCTTCCACTGATTCCGGTTGCGGGCCATGTCTGCAAGAGTGTTAAGTCATTTCACTCCCCATCTTTGGGTCCCCATCCTGGAAGACGTACGGGTCCAACAGCGGCTAGACACGACGTCAATGGTTTCATGTGCTTTTGCCATGTGGAAGGCTGACCACTATGCGGTCGCCTCCAGCCAAGTCCTTGATGAGCGAATGGAGCGCGACGCGGTAGAAGCTCAGGTTCTATGCGTAGAACCTGACCGAGCCAGCTCAACTGGCGCAGCAAAACCAGTTTGTTGAAGGCAGTACTCGCTTTCCTCAAGATGCGACCTCGAACATCATTACTATTAACTCGATGTTGCCACCAAACACAAGCAATCCTCCTTAGGCAATCGTTATCGAAGGCAGGAAGGCGACACATATATTCCACGCGAATTGGCCAGAACTCGCTCCCATATAACAACACCGAACGAACACATGCGATGTAAACGCGGACCTTTAGCGAGAATGAGACGTCGTGACTACGCCACAAGTGCCTCAGCTTGACAAATGCTGATAGTTTAGTGATGTGTAGTCGCGTCAGCAGAAACAGCTCCCAAGGTAGACGAAACTACCCACCTGTTTAACTTGTGCAGCTTCGATTAGGCACGGAAGCAAGTGTAGGCAAATCTTGGAGCAGTACTTTACACTTCGATGGGGTGAAGCTTATGCCACACTTAGATGCTTCAACCGCCAAACGATCTACAATGTTGCATACCCTGAGGATCGTCATCAAATAAGGTGATATCATCAGCATAATCTAAGTCGGTGGCACGCTCACCAGGTAGAAACCCTAGGTCAAAATGTGGGAAACCTTCTAGAGCACAAGACAGTAGGTCTTCGATTGCGAAGTTATAAAGGAATGGGGCCATAGGGCAGCCCTGTCGCACACCGCTATTGACAGCAAATGGCGAGGAATGATTGCCGGAGGCATGGAGGTAAAGGGCTCTTAAGATGGCGGTATAATTCTCTGGCACCTCATTTTTTTAGCAAGTAACACCTTAAAGCAGGTCGATCAACGGAGTCAAAAGCGGCACTTATGTCTAGGAATGCAATGACAGTGGGTCTGTGATAAATGTGGCGATGTTCGAAGAGCTGGAGGAGCGTGAAGACTTGATCCACGCATACGCGGACGGGACGGAAACCAGCTTGTGCTTCACGGTAGAATTGTTTAAATATTGGGAATAGTCTACGGAGCAGAATGGATGCCAATAGCTTGGAGGCAACCGAAACAAAACCACTCCCGCGATGATTTACACAGGAAATGCGAGCGCCTTTCTTGGAAATCGGGACAATAACTGATTTACTCCAAGAGGAAGACGCTTTCTTTTAACGCCAGATTTTTGGGAACAGCAAGGTCAGCTGATTAATGACCGCAATGCTGCCGTATCTGAACAGCTCCGGAGGAAGTCCGTCTGTGCCAGCAGCCTTAAATCGCTTCAAACGTCGCATCTAGAGTCAGACTTACGCTTCGCTGGGTGGATTCAGTGGGACGAGCCAGGGTGGACAACAAGATCTACTGCACGTACTGATGGACGGGGGAGGCCAGATGATTTGCGAGTGAAAGTGTTCGGTCCAGCGGTCTATACGCTTCTATTGGTTGGTGATCGAAGACTCACCCACCTCGCAAATAACCTCACTGATACCATGCTTCCTAAGGCGAGTGGACCAAATCAGTCGGAAAGTTTGCGAGTGCTGCCAGTGAGGGCAGCGGTCTCCATCTCTAAAGCACGCTCAGACCACCATGCCTCGCGATGCTTGCGTAGGCTTCGCTTGAGCAGCCCGTTAGCAGGACGGCGCGGCACGTGGCAATTTGTTTCTGCCGGGAGATCTTTGCGACGTTCGAAGAGCTCCGGATTAATGACATTAACCACGTGTATTCCCCACCATATCACCAGCATCAAAAGGTTTAGCGGAAGGAGCGGTATGAACCGTGAAGGCCGGGCTTCTGAAGCAACGTCATGGTTCTGTGCGCACCAAGGTTGACCGATTCCTATTCGCGTATCGCACCACACCGCTGGAGTCCATCGGAAAATGCCCGGGGATGCTATGTATGACTGTTGGCCACTTACGAAGCTAGACCTACATTTTTCAGACCCCGTTAGGCCAGACGTCAACAACAGCGCATGTATCACAGTGGATACACACCAGATAAACCCCAGGAGTTGGTGGCAAAATAGCTGCGTGCACGAAACCCACACGAGTAGGTATGGCAGCCAGGAACCGTGCTTACAAGTTCAGAAATGGAGGCCGATATAGAACTTGAAAGTGACGAACCAGTACTCAGGCACACACTACTACACTACTCAGGCACATTGATTTCATCCGTCACTGTACTTCGGTCGCATCATATCCTGATGAGGAGGAGGGAATTGTTACAGATGATCGTGAAGGGAGGGAAAAAACCAAACGGATGAAACCGATCCGCCGATTGGTATTCGAAACCACAACGTTCACCTAAACGCATAGAACATTACTTCCGACAAATGTGATTTCATTGGCCCTGTGATGGGATGCTCCGGGCGCACGTGTTGACGGCACGCAACCACCCACACACTTATGCAATTTGATCAAACAACCTAGTCACATTGATTGATACTATTTTAAGTATTTTTCGCGCCTATTACGTGATCAATGTCCACTCACCTTATGGCTTTGTGTGCGCACATTCTAATTTCAAACCGTTTATACGGCAGTGCAGTTAAATCTGTAATCGCCCGAACCGACGATTCCATTATCCCTTGATCTATCTTTTCTCACTCTAACCACCATACGGGACATGTCAAGCACCTGCTTTTTTACCCGTTATGAATCATTGTTCATTGTTCATTTAACTGGCCTTCTATCCTTATTCTGATTGGCTCGTTTTACCCTTTATGCTTTCCGCTTCGATTCATGTCTCAGAATGCAAATGCATGTGTGTTATCCGGTTGTAGGTTCTCACTCCTAGTTCGAAACTACGTGTCCAACTACGAAATAGGAATACTTGAGCAGTATGTATCATAGCTCACACCTGCATGCAACAATTTGACCGAAACAGTCGGCGAATGAATAGGAACCGATGTTATCTATCTGGACATTTCGCGAACTTTCGATCGCTTGGAGCATCGAATGCTGCTTCACAAACTTCGGCACTACGACATCGGAGATCCAGTATTTGAATGGATCGGTAATTTTGTCCGAAAACAGCAATTGGAGTTTAGAGTCCGAACATGTTTATCCGACCCGATTCGAGCGGATTGTGGTGTACCGCAGGGTTCGTGACGGGCTTAGGCTGCTTTTACTTTTTCTTACCTATTTCGCGAATTATCATCTCAAAATTTCTACTCTTTGCGCACGACCTTAAGAGTTGCAAGCTGATCAAGGGGTCAGAAGGCCACAGATCGTGCACTTCGATATCGATGAGACTTGGTATTGCTCGATGAGCAACGCACTGCTGCGTTATCCACATCCGCCACCTACTTTTACAAGCCTGGGGCGCACGTTCAGAAGACAAGCTCGCAGCAACCTGACCTAGGAGTGCTAATGAGGACGACCTCGGTTGTCCAAAGCAGTCACAGTCCGCATTAAAAAGAAGTAGCCAGCATTTTGGTTTCTTGCGTGAGACAGTCGGGAGTTGGGATTCATCCATCTTCTCTCTGCTACACAATGCCTATACCCGTCCCCAACTCGAGTAAGCAACTCAAGCTTGGCAAAGTTGGTTGAGGCGTGACTTCGCAGCGTTTGGTATTCCAAAACTTCGAGCGACGAAAAGCGTCAATGATTTGCATCATCTTCCGTTACAAAAACGACTGAAGATACCCGGAATGTTCGGTGGAAGTTACCGATGACTACGTAGGGACCCGATATTAGTATAGCAAATTTTGAGTCACCCTAGTAACGTAAGTCGCCACATTTCGAAACTCAGCCCGAGTACCAACTTCAGAGGCAATAGTCTGCAACTGAGTCAAAAGCACAGTCGGCTAGATTGTTGATGAACGTATTTCGCCCTCCGGGTCAGTCGAACCTGAAACGTCCCTGCAAATTCAGTTTTTGGTGCACCCACCCTTGCCATTTTCAAAAAAGCATGGGATATCACATTGAATTCCATATACTTGTTACCGGGAGGGATACTGTGAACACATTCAGGCTGACTAAATTCTGTGTAATAATAAGCAACAATGGCGCAGGTAAATTTGTGCAGAATGGCGTGTGATCCGGTTAATATTCGCTATTAGCCTTAAACATAAACTGTTAACCTGTTTTACATGAGACCATATCACCCTAACAAGCTTATCGTTTTTATACCATAACGCGAGCGATTCACCGATGCGCAACTTATTTGGTTCAGGTATGTGGTATTTGAATATGTACATCCTTCCAGTACCAACCTATGAGAGATGTTAAACATGTACTTTTTTACCCCTGATAACCCATTATTTGATTACACCTCACATTTCGGTCGACCTCCGGTTTCTGTTTTCCTTCGTCTTTTTACTAGCAACTTCGCATTCTGAGTGGCAGTTACACAGTTTCATCTTTAAAGGGTGTAGAGATCGGGCACAGGCTTGAAACACGGGTTAAGATGAAGAAGACATTTGGCTTAAAATGTGCACGCATTCCCTCACTGTGGATGGTTTCAGCACTGAAAGAGACAGTAGTGCCTGTACACCACACCGCGCCACTCAGATCTGAAGAACTATAGACATAGGATCGGTCTCACTTTCTCAACAACCTGGCCAGCAGATTCTGCCTACTATATGAGTGCGATGAAGCCAGATAATAGTATGCGCTGCGTTCTTAGTGCTTAGTCAAGCAAGCAGGTTAAACGGTCGGCGGTGTCGGAGCAAATGTAAGGATCCTAGATTGCAGTCTGTGATTGGAATCGAATTTATTTGGCACAAAAACAACTGCAGTGTAGGCAAAGATTTAGTAGATTAGCTTTCTCACTAAAAAAAGTTTAATCTGTTCACCAGAAATAAGCGCATGAATATTGCAAAAATCGACTGCGAATCAGATTGTGGTTGTCATGGTCTCACGATTCAGCTTTCCAGTTGTAGGGACTGATAGCAAATTGGAGCAAATCAGCCGAAGAGCACGATCATGAATCATAATTTGGTAGATACCGTTGCTGGTTTGTGTCTGATTGGGATTTGGGTCCAGATGAAGTTCGACGCCATTCAGCAGCCTCGTTCCGTACGGACCACATGGAACTACTATTCATGAATGGGTTCATGGGGGAAAACTGACTCGTAAGCGGTCAACATTTATCTCGTCATCGGTACGTTTCCCATGGCTTGACTCCACGGTTTGCTGCGCTCGTTTGGAATCCTGAAGCAGTGGTATGATGAATTAGCGAATGAGAACCGTCATCGTAGTTTAAACTCACTATGGAAAAAATACATGTTTAAACGTGATTGTGGTGTCTGTTCGTACGGAATATGGATTCAAATTGCGTCTGCCTTTTACGAGGAACAATCGAAAGTTAACTAGGTCGTTCTGTCTGTCATGGGATTCATTTCACGAGTATAGTTGACCTTCAAAAGGAGCAAACACATTTGACCAGTCCCGTGCAGCATGCTTAGATACTTACGCAATATAGAGTAATTAGTGCACAATATGGATTTAACAAAGCAATTTAAATCTAGTTATTAAATTCTGATGTTTGATATGACGACAGCGTGACCTACTGTACGTTCTTCAGCCGTTTCGAAGTAAAGTAGATGTTTTGATTATCAAAGGCACTGATGTCACTAAGATATCGGCATCACTTCTGTTACATTTGGAATTGGGATTTAATCTCGTGCATGTGTTCGCAAGACAAAGCTTACAACTGTACTGATGTCTTAGCTTTGCATTTTCCTTACAGACGTACTCATTGAAGTAGCCAAGTTTGGAATAAAATAATGTCCTCGGATGAACCAATATTTCAACTGTTCACAGTGAGCAAATACTATGTGCACAGGCCATTTGGAAGGTGATATCAATAAAAGGGTACGAATTCAACCGTGAAACGCTACAAACCAGACGATTTGAGAGGCACAATCTGTCGCTAGACTTCAAACACTTTGGAGCAATACCGAACCCCAGTTGCTGGCATGCTCCATCATTAATTGCATGTGATTAAAATCAGAGCAAACTCCAAACACTACGCAACGCAGCACACTACTGAATTGTTTTAAATGATTTGATAATACTTGTCCTTTACTAACTCGGTGACAGCTGTAAATAGCTATATTTAGTTTATATTTAAGGCAGACTATTTTATGAATTATTTTTTGGTGACCTTAATCGTTTGTAAGCATTGTAGAGGATTGATGATGGGTTGTTGTCAACTGTGAAAGTTGAGCCATCGAAATGCATGCCGTGGACGCCATCTTAGACAGCAGCTATAGATACTGCTTTTCATTCGTTTGTAATTACGAATAAACACGACGGAAGGACTACCATGAAGAAGCAGAATGGTGTCATATACATGGAGCACCAGGTTCTTGGCACCAGACTGTCAAGACCCGAGAGCCCGAGGGATATGTGCGCATTTGTTCGGTACCCACAAAGTGTGCGCGCTGAAATTACCAATACGTCACAGCTAAAGTTCAGAGTGAGTATCAGATATAACGTATCAATGAGGTCAAAATTGTGCACTGGGTACTTCTTCGCACTGGAACCTAGAGAGCTCCCAGCATACGATGATCCGTGCCGATATGTAGGATAGTGCGACCGTCGAGCAATCCTGTGAACATACGCATCGCAGTTACACCAGCGTTCATGGGGTTCTAAGCGACTCACATGTCAATGCGGGAACAGTCCAGTCCGCATAGAGCACAAGTTCCCCATTTAAATTAACAGTGATTTGAGTTAGGCATTTCGATACCACCAAAAAGGTGGCTTTCACCAATCGTAAGGAACGGCCTCACCGCTGCCAAAAATTTCCACGCATCATCAAAACTAGTCCTAGCTTGTCAGCGATTTTGGAGCTGGCAGCGAGGTTGTTAAATTCTCCATCGCTACATTCATTGGGCATTCCCACCATGTGAAATGAGCAAGTTTCCAGCAACTAAAGTGACACACTTTGGCTTCCATCGAAAATGTAACGTTATGCATATCCACTAAAATCGGTTTCACATTTGATGAGGACTTAAACTTCATTACCCTCGTGTACACTGCAGAAAAGCCGGTATATCGGATGCCATCGTTCTCACAATGAACAATCTGTCTTGTCATCTACTGCTCTTTAGTTTAGTTAAAACTTTAAACTTGGCTAACGCTGATTGATCAGCATATGCAAGAACGACCTAATTAATGTCTGGGTAAAGCATCTTGGTGGGATTAGACACCTAGTATTCAACTGACTCCAAATAAACGTATTATAGTAGAGAATTTCAGGAAGCCGAGGGACCATGGGTGTTTGTAGCACATGCCGCGTGTTCAAAAGAGGGTGAATCACGCCTAACTACAGCGCACTTCATTACCAAGAAGACGACGGCACTCTCCTTCAAAGTCACGATACCTCCCGCTTGTCTGGACCATCACCGTGTTGCCACGCACCGGTTGACGCTGCCAAGTCCATCACACCGTTCACAATTATGAGTGTTGTCGTGAGCATGGGTGACTACCAACACAGTCCCGTAAGTGTGATGCCTTTTATTCCGCCTTTTAATTCAGAAACAGCCGTTTTACCAACTAAGTTTCTAAGGCATCACGCACTCTCATCTGATTTATCTAACTAGGAACACTGTGACCGCTTAGAGTTGAGCAACATCAGATCTTACTCCCAACAAGACAGACTGTGTCTACGTTATGTACAGATACCACTTTTCGACACTAGCAGCGCCATAGTACAATATACAGAAGAAACTATATGGGCTGCATGCCGCTTCCACCAAAATGTTTTGAGCTGTTAGGTACAGTGTTATTGCAACAGAAACCCTAACATAAAAATAATGATCATGTTGGCACTGTTCTTTGTCTGATTGATTTTCCTTACTTGTCATAGCTGAACCTCTTTCTGTCTCACATAAAAATTTAAATTTCTTGTGTTTTACATGGTCGAGTTGGATGCTAAAGCGCAAAATCTGTCAACTTTGCCTTTCTTCTCGCGTCTGCACGTAAAAGCCTTGAGGTTGGCATGGCCTGCTAAGAATCTGTCTGAAAATGAACACGAGGTGCATGGAAAGGAATTGTAGGGCCAAATCGAAATAGTTGCACATTGGCTATAGAATTGAAGACTGATAGCTCAGGTTGTCCAGATGGCGACTGAAATGTTCGGAGCTTGGCAATTTTGTTTCAAACGTTTCGTCACCAATCGAGGTGACATCATCAGTGCGTAGTTGAGTGGCGTGCAGTAGCGTAGAGGAGTCTTGGTGAGAGTACGCTGAGCGTGGTGTGCGTGCGTTTTTATACCGCCGTGGTTGCCCGTGGAGACGAGCAACCCTATTGGTTGGGCTTTCAATCCGCGTTCAGCCTGGTTGATGGGCAGATGTTCTTTGACCTTGACTCCTTGTGTTTCGTGGCCTTTGTCTGCTTGAGCTTGTTAGCGAGTATGTCGTCAGTTCTGGTTGACTAGTCACAAGTTCCACCGGGTTCAATCGATCGGGTTGGCAGTCGTCCGCCAGGAGTATTGCGTATACTGCGTCCACTTCGAGGTGTCGATTGATTGAGTTCCTTGTAGAGTGCCAGGCTTCAAAAAACTCCCTCGCGTGTTTCGTACCTCCATGTGCTAGGACCTTTGCATTCTCCAGATCGAAATGGTGGCCTTCTTGATCTTCATGCGCTTGCATGCGCAATACTCCTGGCGAAGACCGCCAACCCGATCGATTGAACCCGGTGGAACTTGTGACTAGTCAACCAGAACTGACGACATACTCGCTAACAAGCTCAAGCAGACAAAGGCCACGAAACACAAGGAGTCAAGGTCAAGGACCATCTGCCCATCAACCAGGCTGAACGCGGATCGAAAGCCCAACCGATAGGGTTGCTCCTCTCCACGGTCAACCACGGCGGTATAAAAACGCACACACACCACGCTCAGCGCACTCTCACCAAGACTCCTCTACGCTACTGCACGCCACTCAACTACGCACTGATGATGTCACCTCGATTGGTGACGATAGGTTTGCAACAAATTGCCAAGCTCAGCGAACAGTTCAACCGCCATAGTTCCACATGTTAACCTCGTTGACCTGTCCATGGCAGCCATCGACGTACACATGTAGTGACCGGTTCCTAAACAGATTGTGTCCTTTTTCTTAGAAGCACGCTAGATATCGATTGTTGCCAACGGGTGATCAGGAGGAGGTTGGTAGTTGCGTAATCAACTTGATGAACCAGCTCAAAATGCGGCGAAAATAAACACGGGACGATCACTGGTAGCGCTAAGGGAAGCGCTAGGAGCATTACGTTTGTCCTTCGAAGCGAAAACTAAGCAGTTACCTCACATTGCCTAACGCAATGCATCAGAATGCAATTAGAAGGGTATTATCTTGAACCTCGAGATCAGCGGGTCGATCAGAATGCGAAACGATGTGGTTAGATTAGAGGCTGGAGATTGCGTTTTAAAAGGATTAGTGAGCTGCTGGTTTTGGGCCTTTTGCACTGTGCAGAATAAGGAACGTATATGCGATGCTTGTCTTTTGGTAACTTTTCATGCCGCCCCTAATCCCTTTTAAAAGCACACTGCCAAACTTCGTGTGAATCCGTACTTTACCTATCTCTTATCCTTACACATGGTCATGTGCTGTACACCCGAGAGGAAGTCAGGTTGGCCGCAGGTGGTACGTCAAATTAACGAGGCGCGGCGCAGGCAAGTTTGGTGTCGCCATATGTTGGTGTATGGAAATGAATGGAACGGCCGTCGCCCAAGAACACACACCGTGCATTGCAACGGATTTAAATACGCTCTGAAACAAGCGAGCTTGTCCATGAATGGGCCGGTGGATGTGTGGTATCGAATGAATAAACAACCATCTTCCTACCAGCCGCTGGAATACTTGATCTGTAGGTGTAAGGCAAGTTCCCACACAAAGTAGTAATCTATACTATGCTAGACGTCAACAAGTTTGGTTCCCGTCTCCTTGGTTTTCACGGAGCTGCACCATAGTCAGTCTTGAGGCACTGCGCTCACACTGCACCAGTCCATTGACGCTGAGCGCATCCCTTTTACCTGAAACGCTAGGCAGGTGTAACCAGAGGGGTTGCGCGTGAAATCCAAGCAATCGCATGCGTCATCAATTGCGCCTTAAATACTGGTTCACATAAGAACTTCCCGGATTGCTTCGTGCTTTACCATGCTGAGACAACTGTCACGGTATCCAAGACAATCTTATAAATAATGCATCGTATAGTGTTAGTTTTCCCAGCTGTCCTGTGTTCTTAATCGCTATATATTTGGTGCATGTACCCAGCGCAGTTGTTAGCTGAATACAAAACATGAACGTTCTCTTCGCATTTTATTTAACGGCAAATCCTGTTCCGTTTTTTCGAGCGCTGGGCGTTCATAAACGCTCTACATGGCGACGATCGCTCCGCTGTCAGACCTTGTCAGAGACGGAGGCTCGCAGTGTGTGGAGTATCACGTAAGCAGAGCAAGCACGGACCCAAATGCACGACTGAAAGCCGCACTTGTTGTCATGGGTTTCAGTGTAACCCAGTGGTCGGTGTGCAGACGAAAGCTCTAGAAGCAAAATCGGACCGCATTCATATAGCACCAGATACATCTCGGAGAGCTGGAATGAAACACTCATGAAGAGCCTCGAGCATCAGAGCGAATTCCTGGATGAAGGGTTTGGACGGCGTTGGTTCGTTGGTGGATGCAATCAGTGGATGAGAATAATAGGACCGGTGGCACAAGAGTAGGCGCCTATTGTAGTATGAGTTTTTATATGAGTACGTCGAGTGGGGGTACATGCGAAAGGCAGTGCGCCAACAGAACACATCTAGATTTCCAGTCTGGCTAGGTTCCGTTCAAAATGGGGAGTCTCACTTTCGGTTGATTGAACACTGGTTGGAGTAACCATCAGATAAATACCAGGTGCCACAGTAGTGCGGCCTGCTCGGTTGCACCACGAATATGGAGGGAAATGTGCTAAGTGCAAACACCACTCATAATTCGTAATCGTATTACATGCTACAGAAATGAATCAACTCTATCATGCGCGAAGCACCAACAACACGAATTGTCACTTCCTGCGCTCTCAAACGTTGCACCAGAGCCCGCAGTGACGTCCCTGCGTTGGCTCCCAGTGAACATGCGGCTCTAGTCTACGAAGACTATGAAAAAGCCAGTCACCTCGTCCAGCAGTATTCATATGTCTACTCAAAGGAAACGCCTTGCCTGTCACCATTGTGCTGGCTAGCCGAACAACCTCGTGGTGTCAGCTGGGTGGTTCGGGTTTAACCTGTTCCAGCAAATAGTTTGGCGGCAGTGTTCCAGGACGTGGTGGGTTTCGCCTGGCAAGCGTTCTCCCTATAAAAAGCCACAAATGTCTGCTTAACAACACTGGGACGTGGCGGTCGTGACTCGCCACAAAATAAAGTCACTGCCCTGTGGATATCTGGATAATTTTATCCAACCCACGGACACCAATCTCCTACTCGCATCTTGATGACGATATCAAACATGGAAATTGGAGCAGCACAACTACAAGCACAAAATACACAGCTCCATACACATACACACACATGATATACATTCATACATACCCCCTACACAAACACAAACTGCTATGACAAACATATCGGATTTTTGCACATTCTTGATCATGTATCGTTATGTCAAAATGATTATGCCTGTAAAGGCGTGCCTCACCTTGTTGAGAATAAGAGATTTATTTATTTATCCTCCCTCTGTGTTGGAAACGCGCATGGACAATGATGTTATTTTAAAACTTCTTCATTTAAATTCATTTTTCTCGGCTGGTCCTAATGGCCTACACCCTCTGATCCTCAAAGCTGTGGCTGAGCACATTTCCACGTCTGTCTCTCAGGTCTTTTGGCGCTCCGTTGCGAACGGACGTATTCCGAATATCTAAAAGTTGGGCCTTCTCAAGCCCATAAACAAAGAAGGGAACCGACATGATCCATTTAATTACCATCCGATTTGTTTTACATCAGCATTATGTAAAGTAATGGAAAGGATTCTGAAACGAACTTTCAGCTTCACATGAGAATCTGGATTACACCTCTTGTACTTAGCAGGGCTTTTGAAGGACTCGCTCATGCTCCACGAACTTGCTCGTGCCCAAATGGAAGTGGGTCCAAGTATCAGATCTGGGGGAACGTGTGGATATCTTGTTCGGCGACTTTATCAAGGCTTTTGATAAGGTCCAGCATAAGCAGCTCCAACATAAAGTCCGAGGCATCTGCGTCGCTGGGAATCTTCTTTCTTAGATCATAGATTTCTCATCGGCAAATCCATGCAAGTAAAAGTGAATGAAACGCATTTTTGTACTGCCCTCCTGGCCAGCGGTGTCCCCCAGGGCTCTTTCCTTGGTTCCGAGCTCTTCAGCATCTTCATTAACAACGTGCCATCAGTACTGCAGATGATCTGAAGATGTGGATGGTGGTATCTAACGCAGAGAATGTTGATCGATTACAAGAGACACTTGATCTACTGCGCTTTTGGTAGATTACATGAGGATTGCCCATTATTCTGGACAAGTGTTCTGTTCTACCTATTGGTGCGAATGAACCCTTCGGGGCTTAGCACCGACGGTTCTTTACTCAGAAATACCACTCATGAGACAGACTTCGATACAATTGTGTACGCCTTGAAGATGGTCGCCGATGACTACAGAATGTTCCATGCCATACAACGAAGCCTATGCAGCCTGAGGCCTGTGCTCTTCCGACTCTTGTTCACCCTGCAAGTACGCCCGGTTCATGGATTGGGTTTTCTTGCCTCTCATGCTCTCACCAATTTCGAATGTAACCTGATTGCGAAGGTCCAATGGCGCGGTCCTAAATCTGATGTTGAGTTGCGTGACCTACCCTATCCCCCACTTCGCCGCTTGAAACTCTTCCGATTACCATCGCCGCTGTGGAGATTTAATTTTGTCATATCCTTATGGGAGAGCTGGGGGAGAGCTGCAGGAGTGCTTTCATCTCAGCGCCGGAACTTCGACTAGAGGTGACAAATGTAAAGTATTCAAACTGAGGAGGCTCCGAGTGCGGACCAACCTTGACTTATTCACCCGTGTAGTGAACGCGTACGATCGCTTTTCGGAGCTCATCGTTGATACACAAATGTAGGAACGTTTCATAAGGCTGTTGGATTTTCGTTTACTGAAAATACCGGGATCTTGCTGTTCCCATTGCGACTATGACGGCTGTCCGCGGAGTTTTGTTTCCCAATGATCGAGTTCTCCATGCGATGACCAGGAAGTGACGGAGCTGACAAAGGATCTCCTTTCTGCTATCGACTATCTAATGATCCAATGAATGAATGACTTTAACGATTCACGCTTATTATCTTAAGAGATATTACGAAGAACACAAGTGACAGCTAAACACAGATAGGTAATTCGAACAGTTGTTCACTGAGTGACGCTATTATTCTTTTATATGCCAAACTCGATTTTGTTTGTGTAGATTTTAATAAGGAAAACCATAATTTTGAAATATGGGTCACGTGAGTTTTCACAAACGAAGTTTAAACGTGACCGAGAGTACGTTGGCGAAACTCACACTTCGTTCCATATTGTCCTCTTCCTTGCACATGTCGGCATTCAACTTTCCAACCCTCTCTGTAAAACGCTGTAATCTAGGGAGCGAAGATTGTCCAGCTGACAAGAAAGACAACATGCTTTATTACATTACAACTGTGTGACTGTGCGGTTGTACATATAAGCCTAAAATGTTCGTCAATGCGGTTTCCACTTTGATATTAGAATATGAATGAGGAATGCCGCTGTTCTATCTCGTAGGAAATTAGCGTGTGCCGCACCTAGTAAGGTACGGCACCCAGGCACACCTCATGTGAGACGGTTATTTTGGTGAAAGAGTTCTGTGAGGCATACTCACAATGGCGTCGAATTTCAGTATTTGTTGCACTCAACGAGCCTCTCAAATTCTTGGTTGGTCAGAGAATTTCCTCTCCACATGTCAAATGGCATCATAAGGAAGAAAGCTTGGGTTCACTGATGATGGAGAGGCTACTCCGATACTCGTCTTTTAGATAAATCCCCTGACAGATTACGTTCGCATATCCCAGGCAAGAACTTGGGCCACCTTTGAGCAGACAGTGGATGCTCGCTTTGGTACCTTGCTGTGGGCATTTGGACCGCGAGGGCCGCTTGTCTGACAAAAATGCGCTATCGCTTTCTGGGGAAACTAAGGAAGATCATGAATTACGAAGTACCGGAAACTCTGCATCAATTAATGACTACGATGATGCGGCAATCCGCAAAACACTTTGGATGCGTTATCAACCCCCTGACTTTTAAAATCCCCCTAATTTGTCGACCACTGTTTGTGGCAGCTGACCGCAAGTCTTAACCGCACCGTAAGTTAATAGAACCTAAGAAATCGGCCGTTGGCCTGCCTACGGAGGTACCGTGTTCTGCTCGCCCACGCAGCACCTATTTCAGGGCTATCTATCGCGTGGGCGTGTTCAAGAATTGGCTAGAACGGCTGGTCCAAGCCGCTGTGTTCGATCAGATGACCAGAGCGGGTTCGGTCGCCCTGCACAGGGTGCGACGGCTTGGTGCGAAACACGTGCAAGCGGAAAACCGAGACTGCGAAGTTCAACATGTCTGAAAAAAACGGTGAACAACGTGAATGAGAGTCTAACGCCCACGCCCAAGCGGGTAGCAAGTTGACAGTAATTTTGCAAATGTTTTGTAGTCATCGACAACTGTGGTGGCTTGTAATTAGTGAGCGTTTAGCCTGGCATCAGTGGGCATTCGGGCAGGAATGCGTAGACTATTGTCTCCTTTGAAGATGCTGGCAGTTGGAAATCAATGCGATGTACAAATTAAAGTTAAATTCAAGTGTATTCACGATAAAATTACTTCTTAAAACCAACGGGAAACGTTACTGGATTTTGGCGGTCACATATGGTAGTAACATGCACACGAGTGTGTGGATGACCTGATAAGTTTACCTTCTCCGCGAATGGGACATATTTATATGCCATACTAACCGAAGAACATTTCGCCTCAACTATACTTCATGAGGACTGGAATTGGGGTCATGTCATAATGTTACTTCATCGCTTCTCCGAAACTGAAACACAGTGCTATATTGCAATGCTGATAGTGGCATAATATTGAAAAAATTTCCCTTACTTGAAAGTGATAACCTTTCGCTTCGCCAGTGAATCCAAGGGAACCTGGTTAGCAGTCTGTAATCCTCTCCGCAAGCGTTTCCAAATCAGAAAGTGTTAACGTGATGGTTCTGCTCTATGCGGCTGCCTGCTTCTTGATAAAGTCCATGTTGATTGAAGACCATTTTGCAAGCCCACTAAAAAATTAACCTTTTAGATACTAGCATATTTTCAACCCTCGAGGACTTTCATCAGACGGATTTGATTTAATTGCCATTATCTCGGCTTGTTATATGCGCACCGTAGATTACACCGCGCGTCCATATTGCCCAGCCCTTTTCTCGGTCTCATTCCAGTTGACACTCTGTCTTCGTACGATCACCGTTCGATAATGAAATAAATTTTATGGTATGACTCTATTTAGTTATGCCCGTCAACATATGAGCAGCGTTCAAATGCGCCTTGTGTTTATAGCTTCACCTCACTCATGAAGGCAGTGATAGCAAATCCCGAACTCGTGTTCTCGGTTGGTTTCCCTATTTTGCACTACGCAAGGATTCACGTGTTCTAGTGCTCACACTATGCGACAAATCGAATCTGGTGCCTGTCCGTTCATCAACTTATCGGGAAAAAAGTGTGTTACCAAAAGAGGCGGATCCCACTGACTTGTCGGACGTATAATTTCGTTTTAATTATGTAGTTTTTTATTGAGTTTCCTGCAACAGTTTTAGTAAGAAGCTTAGCACTGCTTCAGAGTGCATTTTCCTTCGAAAAAGTGGCTGATTTGGGGCCATGGCAGTCGTTGTGCCAGTTGGGTTTTGGAAACCTGGAGGACCGGTTGACAGCTGAAAATGACACGCAATTGTCCGAGTAGTTTGAATTTAGGGGTGAGATGGATGAATTTCAAAAGAATGCCGTCAGACTATACTGACATTGAACGCCTGTACACACGCCGCAGACAAGTCAAACCATCAGACTTGAGATCAAAGTTCTTTGAATAAAAGTATGTGGCTTCTTGGAACTGTGAACATGCAGATGAATTTCACTACAAGCTACGTACTTTGTTCCCCATATAGTAATTTTGGTCGTGTATGGTAGTCTCTGATAAAGTCTGACGGTTACATTCCAGTTAGTGGCAAAGCATAGTTTGCTGATCTTCTACTAATGATTTCTTTCTTAAGTGTTGCCGCGACTGTAGTTGAGGCAAGTAACGTTACACCACATTGTGACTGTTAAATTCCACCACCGAACTAATTTAAGCAGTACTCGCCGTGCAATAAAAGTTTCTATTGCGGGGAACACGATCATTTGATTATCTTACTCTACCGGGAATGAAATGGCAATTAAAGGCACGAATGTTTTATTTACCACAAAGACTGGGTTGGCGGGTAATGCCTCTAGCTATCAAATCGAAAGTATCCTACTTTCCATCTTGAGTTAATACATTGAGTTCACTGAGTTCTAGAGGGCAGAAGGTAAGTCCCCTCTTAGCCCCGTCGCCTTAACGACCCAACAATTCTCAAGTAAGCAGGGAAGTCGCAGAGGAACAATGCTGTCCAGGCATCTTGCGCAGATGGGAATCCAAAAGCCGATAGCAACTTTTCTCAGTCTGTGCGCTGACGACGGTTTCTGAGAGGCTGTTCCAGTCGTTTACTACCTGAGTAGAAAGGGCAATGGCGGAACGTTCGCGGAACATCCTCGGTTCAAATAATTTACAATTGAGACCTCGTGTTGGGCCCCTACGTTGATTTGGAAAAACTGCCGCAGTTTATTTCCAAGTTCGGCTCTTAGTATGCGCCTGGTAAAGATGAGGTCTCCACGGCGGCGATGGTAGTCCAGTAAGAAGAGGTTCATCTCTCGGAGTCGAATAGCGTAGGAGAAATCCCGAAGTCCGAAGACAAACTTTGCGTTTCGTCTCCGGACTCTTTCCGTTAGGGTACATTATACCTTTGAAAGCTGAAACGTATTCGGTGGACCGTACTCAAGAATAGGTCATACATGCGAGGTAAACAGTAGCCTGAAGATCGTTTGTGTCATTCTCGAGAATGATCTTCTTATGGAACCCCATATCCTGTTAGCAGCAGCCGCTCTCCTTAATGTGTCCTGCGTGGTTTTTGGGTCAGAGGCAATTAATATTCGTAGGTCTTTCTTCCGGGCGGCATTCTTGAGGTGGAAAGCCACATGATAGTAGATGCGAAGGGGATCAGACCAACAATCGGGAGAATACAACATTTGGTAGTTTATCGGTAGGCCTCAATTCATGGACCAGTTATATAACAGATCAAGGGTCACCTGCAGTCGGTTAGCTGCGTCAAGACCAGTCACTTCAGAACACAGCTTGTGGCCATCGGCATAGATCAAACGTTTGGTTTGGAGTGTAGCAGAAAGATCATTGATACACAGGTTACACAGTTCGGGTCCAACGACTGATCCCTGTGGAACGCCACTTGTAATGAGCACTGATTTTGAAAGCGTCTGGTTCATTCTCGCTTGCATGATGCGACCTTCTAAGAAGTCGGCAATCTACGAGTGAAGGATGCCGCTTATACCGATTTCCATAAGCTTTCCAAGTAGCCACTGGTGTGAGACTGTCGAACGCATTGCTAAAATCGACAAACACCACACTTATGGGTTGTCCGACGTCAAATGACCTCGCTCACTTTTCTCTCGGCACTAGTAGGTTGGTGGACCAGGAGTGTCCCTTCTGAGAACCTTTGATTCGAGTGCTCTGCTGAAATTGGATATGAAGTTGTCTGAACTAGGATCGCGATTCGTTTGAAGCGATTGTATGATCAACTAGGCCCGTGGGACTAAATCTGAAAGAACAACTCTTGGGATCTGACCTTGTAGTTTTATCTCTGCCGAGCGGTCGCAAATAAGTGTCCTCCTGCGATATTCGCCTTTAACTCTTCGACTTTATTCTCACAGAGACCTACGTATTATCATTCGATTGGGCTCCGCGAGCACCTCCTGTCACTGTTCATCTTTTGGAACTGTCATTCGCGGATGACCAGCAAACCGTGCTTTTGCAATTTCGAAGTCAAACTTGCTTGAATCTTATCAGATAATTTATTTTCCTCTCGTCGCACAAGAACTCTGGTGGTTTTATTTTAAAAATACTTTTAGTCACCCGAACATCTTACTACCTTTCCTTGTAGTCGCCGTACAAAGCGATGGTTGTCAAGTTGGTTCGCCGTTGGAACAGCCCCTGTCGTCATTAGACAGTATTTTCCAAGTCATCTTGCTTTGCCTCAATTCTACGCTGCCTCCTTGCCTGTTCACTTACCGGCTGGATCGATAGCACGTACGTCGCCTACCTACCCTGAGGAACGTGTGAATCCTCTGGATGCGACACGTCTGACCCCTCTGAAGCGGAGGCTGAAAACATCTGACCACAAACCAGTGCCGATTGCCACGTAACGAAAAGTGAAGCGTCAGTAAATCTGTCCTCTTGCTACCCCAGTTGTAATGTACACATTCAGTCGTTGCATTCCATCTTGTTATTGTGGAAGCTTTACA